AGCCCCTGGGCGCGGCGGTGGGGGGTCCCGGCTGCCCACCCCGCGTCTTGACCCCCATGCCGGAGGGCTAAGCCCCCCAGCAGTCGCGGTGCCAAAGCCCTTTGCCCTAGCGCGGCTTCCCGCCCCGTCGGGTAAGAAACGGCTGGAGAGTCCGGGGGGCTGGAAAGGGTTCCCTTAAGGGCGGATTTGCCCCCGGCTCCAGCAGGGAGTGGGGGATGTTGAGGTGCCCCCGGGGGTCCTTTCTGTCTTCCATGGCCCCTTCTCGGGTGTCCGGCACCGGTACTTGCCCAGACCCTCCCTCCGATCCCGGCCGGCTCCACCGGCCGTCAGGGCAGCTCTGCTGGCAGCCGGCAGCCTCCCGGGATAGCTCTGCAGCTCGGGGAAGCAGTAACAAATCGCTGCCTCAGTCGGGGTGTGCAGGTCCCTGGCTGAGCCTGCAGGGACCCCTGTCTCCATCCCAGGGTCATTGGACCTGCTGGCCCCATGGGGGATGCGCCTGTCCCGCTGGGATGTCGGTCTCCCCCACTCCTCCACCCTGTCCCTGTGAGCTGGCTGATGCCCACACTGGGCAAAGCTGCTGCAAGCCCCTGTGACCCCGAAGGACAGGCCTCTTCATCTATCTCCCAGCTGGCAGGAGCAGAGCAGGATGTGCAAGGAAGGGGCTCTGCTACCACCCAGAAAAGGGGTATCAGGGGGTCTCTCCCATCTCAATTTCCAGCTGAGAAAAGTCAAAAGTTTGTGGGGGCAAGGACCCAAGTACTGCACAAAGGTCTCCAGAAATCTCCAAAAGGACATTTTATTTCATGTCGAATTAATATGCCTCCCCCCCAGCCTCAACCCTGGTGCTGCTGGCTGGGTTTGCTGAGGCTGACCTGGGAGCATGGAGCATGAACAAGGTGTTCCTGCTCTGCTTTACAGTCCAGCAAGAGGAATTAGTGCTGGTCGCTGGTCCCAGACCAGGCAGACCTCTGGGCTGAACTGGGGCTGCCCTCTCTGGATGGTGCCTCCCTTCCTTTGTGCAGACATCTGCAGCCACACATAGCCTTCATCCTCTGTGTACTCCCCAAATCATGGTGCAAAATAAAAGACACCCATGAAAGAAGCAGCCTGCAGTTGTAGCCCAGAAGACCCTGTGTGTTGGGTTGACCTGTGCTGCTTTTACAGCCAGCTTTCCCCCAGCTGCCTGACCTGAACGAGGCCAAGCCCTGCACTCCTGGGACCCTGTCTGTCTTCTAGCACTGGCGTTGCTCTGGGGGAACTGGTAGAGATGAGTCAGCCCCTGCTCTGGTTCAGACACATTCCCTTGTTTCGGGCACAGGACACAGCCTCCTGCCAAGGCCAGCAGGAGTGATTTGGACCCAAAAAGAGCAGATTGGCTTCAAGGGCCATGACTCCCAGAGCTTCTCTCTCCACCATGTCCCTGTGCTAGCAGCTGGACCAGCATCTCTCTCCTTCTGCAGTCAAAGAAGCAGAGCCAGTCCTGGGCATGGCAAATGGCCAAGGCAGCAGATGCCAGGGCATCAAACCTATCCTGGCCCTCTTGCCTGCCTTCAAGAGAGATTTCCCAGGAGTGGTTTCTCCCAGCAACAGAAATTTCCCCACTTCTCCTAGCTGTGCCAGTAGCAGCAAGCTGGGCTCTCCCAGTTTATTTGCACTGGGAATAGACTGCTTTTGTAGCTAGCAGGCTCTCATCCTTGGAACAGCACAACCCAGCTCTGCCACGCTGCAGTGCCAGCCTGGATCAGCTTTGCAAAGGGCCCCAACTCCCCGGCAGCTCGTCCCAGCTCCCACAGCTCCAGGCAGAGCAGCCTGCTTGGGTGCCATATTGGGGAGGAGCAGAGATGGAAATGGGAAGGCGCACTGTGTTATTTCAGACTCCCCTGTGGCTACTGGAAGCTGTTGCCTAATGTCCCCTGCCACTTCACACAGCAGGCAGCTGTCCAGCCTGGCACCCTTTTACCATTCAACTTGTCACCCCAAAGGGAAGGGGACACTGGGAACCCCCATCACTCCTGAATGGGGAGAAATGGCTACCAGCTCCTTGAGCTGCCACAGCTATGGATCTGCACTGATGTGCCACAGAGATCAGTTCGGTGTCTGATTTCCCAGGGTACAGCAATGGGCTGGAGCGCAGACTTGGACTGCTGCATGGGATGGAAAGGCATGCTACATTTCGGCACCGTTAGGGCCCATCTGTAAACCAGCATGGACCTGGGAGCTGTCGGAGCTGGCACAGTGCAGGAACAACCTCCTTGATGAGCTTCCCATCTTTCCTGTTTCCTGCCGGCTTTGTGCAGGGCCAGCAGGTCTCAGACTCTTTTAACGGGATTTTGCAGAGGTGCAGAGCTCAGTCTGAGATGGGTGGGCTCTGGGCGGGCCAGCAGGGCTGTTTTTAGTAAGCTGGGATGGTTATGCTGGTGTAAAATGGGGGAAGATGTCAGACTTGAGCCCTTAAGGGGTTTTGAAGGGCCTTTCTTTATGTCCTGCCCAAATCCAGACTGCTCAGCGCCCCATTCTTCTTCAGCTACCTGCAGCACCTCTGTGTGCATGAGTCCAGCCCTACAAAAGACTTTCAGCCCAGGGCTGTTCTTTGCTGGCCCTTGTCCTCACCCACCCTTTGTTTTTCATTTTAACATCTATCCACCCCAACCCTGCCCTGCCAACCCTCCCTGGCCATCTGGCAGTGCAGGGCATCCTGCTGCAGAGCAATAATGCCCAACCGTGCTTTGGGCTAGGAGCAACGTCACTGCAGTTGGGGAGATGTGCTCCCTGCAGTGTAGTGCCAGGCAAGCACAGACCCTCAGTCACATTGCAGATCCCTGGTTTTGATGGTCACTCTGGCTACTGTGGCTCTTCCAGCCACATGGGGACAAGGTTTGGAAGACCAGGTTGGCTCTGACTCCACCTCTCTGTGCAGCACTGGAGCTGAGCAGCTGTGCCCCTGCTCCCCCTCTACCTGGGGGAGGCTGCAGGAATTACAGCGGTGTCCTCTAGCATCAGGAAAAATATTACTTCAGGGAAATGTCTTGGATTTGTCCCACTGAATTTCAGACGCTTATCTGAGGAAAGCAAGGGTGTGCTCATTTTCTGCTCTCTGGTCCTGTGCCCCATCAGGAGATGACTTGGCTTCTGAGCCAGAGCAGCCTCAGGAAGGCTCTGATGTCCACCTTGGCTGGTTTTCTCTTCCTGGGATTCAGCTGAGGTTGTGAGGCTAGTGGAGGCAGGATCAGAGCCAGGGCTTTGGTGGGAAAGTTTCCCTAGAGACATCTCAGCCTGTTTAAAGGAAAGAAATTGAGTTCCCAATAGGTCTGAGCCTTGTTGCTGGATAAAATGTTGAACAGACCAAAATTCTTGGTGCCCTCAGGTAGAATTTGGGACAATCGGTCTGATCTCCAGCTGAAAAGTTTTGATATTTCATTTCAAAGTAAATCTAAAGGAAAAATACAATTTAAATGAAGATGAAAACATGCACTTTGATTCAGAAAACCATCTTGTGCTGACCTGAAGGAACCAGCAATGAGGGAGTGGAGAAAGGGAGTCCATCTGCTCCATACATCTTCAGACTGTCTCCTAGGTAAGGGCAGTCCTCCAGACGTCCTTACGACTCTGGTGCAGGCATGGAGGGGTGAATTAAGTTGCAGATTGATTTACCAGTTCCCCCTCCCCCAGCTGCTCTGTGGGATCACTGTGCTCTGAATTTTTTTTACACTCATTCTCCAGCCAGATAAATCCATCATTCGCTTGGCTGTGGCGAAGGCGATTCTGTTCCTTTCTTTCTGCTGCAGCGCTGCGGGGCATGTAGCTTTGCAGACGATTGAATTGCATTGAATTTCTGTGACTGCTTCCTTATCCCCACGTTTCCAACTTGCTCCACAGATCCAGAGCAGGCCAGCAGTGCCCGGGACTTTGTGCACAGGCTGCACGCCCAGCTCCACACCGGCAAAGCGTGCCCTCTGCTGTCACCGCAGCCGCAAGACTGGCTCTCATCCCACCTCGCCTCCCTGGCTATCACCTACAAAATGTGCTCCAGGTTCTCTCAACTCTACTTTCATGAGCAGGACAGTTTTGCCATGCATCACTACCTTGCCAACAGGGAAAACTCCTTTTTCTTATATTCTAGCACTTAATCTGCTAGGGCCAAGCTGTGATCTGGGAGCCGGGGATGTGAAATTCCTCATCCTGGCTCTGGACATGCGTCCCGCGCTGCAGGGCAGCGAGGAAGCTGCCACAGCCCCGCAGCTCTTGCAGCTTGCCGAAAACCTAATGGAGCAGCTTCCTTGTGGAGGGCTGATGCTACCCCAGGAGATACAGATGAGCAGAGGAAGAGCAGTTGGTCATGCCTGAATGATAATGAGAAACAAGAGCTCAACAAGGGAGAGAAACTCCCATCAACTGGTACCGTGTGTCCTTGGGACAGGCCATGCGGAGAGTGGCGGTGTTGGGATTGTACAAGGTCTTGCTAGAGCCCTGAGAGGTTTCTGGGTAAAATGCTGTTTCTATAGTAAAACTTGGGCACAAATCCAAAAGAATTGGTCTCTCCATTAATTACAGTTGTCTGGCATTTCTGCTCCAGGTAGCAAAGTGGGAGGGGAGCCAGGCTGTGGAGGTTCACAGGAGGGATCCTGCTACCTAATCTTTGTGATGTTTCCATCTAAGAGCCAAAGCTGTGTTCAGGATTTCTGTTGCTGCTACCTGAGATTTATTCCCGGTCTCAGCCTCCTAGGATGCTGCCACAGCATTTGTAGGGTTGAAAGCAGCCCCCTCGAAGTCAGACAAGGGAAAGATCAGCACAAACATGTGCATAAGCAAAGGTGAACAGGATGAGCTAAGAGCAGTACCAGGGTATTTACCTGTACCACTGCGGTGACTACTAGGAGCTGTGTTAGGGACTGTACAAACAGATGCTGGCCTGTGCTGTAAGGAGTTATCAGCATAAGGCAAGAGATCATGGATACAGATGGGTGAGCACATGAATTCATGAAATAATACAGGGCTCTGCTTTCTCTTCATTTATAATTCTCCTCTATAAACACTAGCTCCACAACAAGAGCTTGGGCCTCCCTTCCCTCCAGCTGTGACACAGACCCCCCCCCTCAGAGAGGCCGGGCCAGGAGGCTCCAGGTGGCCGTAGGCACTTGGGTCCAACCCCACAAAAAGGCAGCGTGCATCCCAGTGACACAGGATCCTGCCCGTCCGATCGCAAGGGCTTCCAGGCTGCTCCCGGCCAGCTCGGGCTGCAGCTGGTCATTCCCCACAGCAGATCAACAGCGGGGGGGGACGGGACGGGCTGGCCCTGGAGACAAGCTGCAGGCAAGCACCCGCCTTCCGCCTGCAAACCTTCCCCCTTTCGCCGACAGCAGCAGATCTCCCAGGTCGGCCTGGAACATTACTTTTTTTTTTTCTTTTTGGAGCGGTCTTTATTCCGGGGACTCCGCGCTTAAACACCGTCTTCGCCTGCCCTCTGGTGGAAACCCGGCAGAATACAGCGGAGCGCCCCGAACCCTC